AGTAGCGCTTCTGTTTAAAATCAGTGGGTTGATTCTGTCAGTGGAAAATCCAGTCTTACAGCAATTCATTTGATATACGTAGCCATTCTTATTTTTTTTAAACTTTATTTTTTTGCTTACTTTATATTTAATAGATTTCAGCATTAATTTCAGGTTTTATTTTGAAAACACAGAACAGTATAGTTTGCTACAAATCGCTGCTATACGACGGGTAACTCTTTCAAGCGTACTTTGTGATACAGGTGATGATATGCCACTGCTGGTGCCAAGTGCACTGCGCTCTGTGCATAATCAAACACTGTTACCATGCACCATGATACACACACTTGATTTAAAACCATGGATTGAACGATTTTGATCAAGAACCTCGGAAGTCAAAATTTATTTTCAAACGATATTCGTCGAAGAAAAACTCAAAAACTATCAAACCATCCAGAAACGACCATTTTTCTTAAACTACCATTTTTTTGGAGTGCTAAATCCACTGTATGGACCAGCTCATTTCCTTCCGTTGTGAGTTCCTATTCGTATCTGACACAAAGAATGACAAATGGGCAAAAATGGTAATCAGGAAAAAAAAGAGCCTGGCCTGACTACTCATCATAAATTCCAGGACAACGGGGAAAAACATCACCCTTGAAATCTTTCATTATGTTCTTTGCTTGCCCTGCATTGAGAAATAGGCTTGCTTTGCTTGATTCCTAGAAACACTGGTCAGTCATTTTATCTAAATTTTTCTGTTTTTTTTCCCGAATGCCAGGGCTTTTCACGGCTATTTCGAATAATGTTGCAGTTGTTTAAGCCAGCCTAGCAATTTGACATTGCAGTTGCCGCAGTGACCGTGCGAGCGGTAAGTGCACTGATTCCAGTTGCTTGATAAGATTGTTGAATTTTATTGAGAAGTAAAAATGTATTTCATTCCTTTTGCTCCTATTTCACAGAAAAAAAGAAAAAAAAAACAATTCCGGAAAAACGGTGCTGGCAGTATGGGTACTGTAAAAACGCGACACAGACACTTTAGCCTTGCAGAATTCTCAAGCACTGCTCTAGAGATGGAGCAAGAATATATCCAGCTGAGCCAAAAAATTAGGAGCACAAAAAAAAAAACACAATTATTGTCCAAAAAAAAACACATACTTTTGCACAATTTCAGCCAAAAACGCATCATGTACTTGTCAAAAAAAAGCATCAAATATTTCGTACCGGTCAAAATGCTATTTCGTACAATAAAAAGTAGTAGTTGGATTATGCGATAAGTGTGGCCTGAAGAAAATACTACAAAAAAAAACTACACCTATACCACAAACATGGCTACATGTTAGGAATGCTGAAGGCTTCATATTGGAAGCTCGAGCAATGTTAACAAAATTCCAGCAATATCAGCAAATCTTGAATTTTTGTATGTCATTTCATGGGCTAATTGTCGAGTCGCGTCAAAATCCAGGACTACGAAAAAAAAGCATTACCCCTGAAATCTTTCATTATGTCCTTTGCGTGCCTTGCATTGAGAAATAGGCTTGCTTTGCTTGATTCCTAGGAACACTAGTCAGTCTTTATCTAAATTTTTCTGCTTTTTTTCGAATGCCAGGATTTTTATTTCGAATAATGCTGATGGTAGGAAGAGAACAGCGAAGAGGTGAGGAAGAGACCAATATACTAAATAATCTTCCTGACCTCAAAGAACACTTCGTTTTACTGGAAAAATTTTCGTTAATTTTGGGTAATTATACCAGTATCGTTTGCAATCATGCACTGCTTTCAAATCTGATTTGGTTCGGATCTGAGTTACACCGAGCATTGAACTTAACGACAGGTGACGCATAGGAGAAAAAGGACATAACGTGCAATGCTCCCAAAGCATAAATAATTTCTTCTTGCCCATATGGACAATTGTTATTGCTATGCTCTCCGAGCATTTCCGATCCTAGCTGGTGCGTCTCAAAAACATCGACTCAAAAACACCGTTTACTTAGAAAAATATCGGTGTCTTAGAAAAAGTTGTTTAAT